TTTCAATCAATATATTCAGTTTCAATCAATATATTCAGTGTTCATTCAATATATTCAGAGTTTCAATCAATACAGGGGGTAAAATAAGTATTTAACACGTCACCATTTTTCTCAGTAAATATATTACTAGAGGTGCTAATGATGAAATTTTCACCAGATGTCGGTAACAACCCAAGTGATCCATATATACAAAGAAATCAAACCATACACATCCAGAAATTAAGTTATTTGTAATAATGTGGATTGGCACAGAGAAAAAGTATTGCCCCACCCCGCCTGTATAATGGTAGGGGAAACACTGCTCCTTGATCTGAGATCTGCCTTTGACACCATCTCTCATCCTATCCTCATCGACAGACTAACCTCTATCGGCATCTCAGACAACCCCTGGACTGGTTTAAATCCTATCTTTCTGACCGCACTCAGTTCATACAGCTCAAGTCCTTCCGCTCCCAGTCTTCACCCATCTCCACCAGTGTTCCACAAGGTTCTGTACTCGCGCCTCTACTTTTCATAATCTATCTGCTCCCACTTAGTCACATCTTCCATAAATTTGGTGTTCTCCTATGCCGATGACACTCAGCTCTACATCTCAACAAAACTGAACTCCACCTTACCATCCTCCACTCTTACAGACTGCCTCAGTGTGCTCAATAACTGGTTCTCCAACAATTTCTTCCAACTAAACCAAAACAAAACTGAACTCCTCCTTGTTGGGACAAAAAACTCCATTTCTAAATCCCAGCTTCTTCTCTTCACTCTTAACATCTCCGTTCTCTCCCCCTCGCTTCAGGTCAAGAACCTAGGTGTCATCCTTGACACCACACTTTCTTTTAACTCACACATTAACAACGTGACTCGTTCAGCATACTTTCATCTCCGCAACATTAACCGTCTCCATCCTTCACTCACTCCACGCTCCACTGCCATCTTGGTGCACAGCCTAGTAACATCCATGATTGACTACTGCAACTCTCTACTGTTAGGTCTCCCCAATAAATCCCTTCACAAACTACAGATGGTTCAGAACTCAGCCACCCGTGTAATCACCCAAAGCTCATCCTCTGCACACATCACTCCAGTCCTACAACAGCTGCACTGGCTCCCAGTTAAATCCCGCATCATCTTCAAAATTTTCCTACACACCTTCAAAGCTATGCCCAATCTTTCCCCTCCTTACCTGTCTGACCTCCTAAACATCTCCACACCCTCCCGCTATCTAAGATCTGCCTCCTCCCTCCAACTCTCAATACCCACTGCCCGCCTCAGCACCATGGGGAGCAGAGCTTTCAGCTGCTGTGCTCCCCAACTCTGGAACTCACTACCCCATGAATCACGCAATACTACCTCTCTCTCCCTGTCTTAAGACTGGCCTGAAGACATATCTTTTCAGATTAGCCTACCACTGTTAACTCCGATTTTCAATATATGACTGTTTTGTTCAGTCTACATTGTATTTTATTGTATGACTTTTCTGTACTACTCATTTCTATGTTTCTCCCGCACTACCCTTATCATTCTATGTATAGTTCTTTTTTTCTATTGTACAGTGTCCTTGGGTGTCCTGAAAGGCACTTTATAAATAAAATGCATTATTATTATTATTATTATTATTACTATTATTATTGTTATTAGATGATGTTTGGATCACACGTGTACAATCTTGAATTGATGAAGTGGGGTTTTGTCCCAAGTTTTCATCAACAGCTTTTCTTTTCAGTTATATTTTATACTTATTGCACTATTACACCAAAGCAAATTCCTAGTCTGTGAATCCTGTTCATTGACAGTGGCAATAAAACTGAATCTTATTCTAAAACAAACATTTGAAACTATTGTTCACGACATTTGTCTAACAGGTCTAACACTGGAAACATGTTAGACGAACTCAAACTCTGTTTTGAGATTTTTGTGTTAAAATCAGAGCTTACAGTGTTGGAAAAGAGCTGGTGCTAAGTGAGCTCTGGCTCCAGTTTAGCTCAAAAACTTGTTTGGTTATAAAAAACAACTGTGACCTGAGCAGTCTGTCAAGCGATGTAAGTGTGAATATAAAGCTATAGTTCCCCTTTAATGTCCTGTTCATGTGTTTCAGTGGTTCCTGAAGGTGTTCAGGTGCTGATTAAAGAGGAAGCTCCTGAAGAACAGAAGCCTGATGTGGACCAGCAGGACCAAGAACACCTCCACATTAAAGAGGAAGAGGAGGAACTGTGGACCAGTCTGGGAGCAGAGCAGCTCAATGTGAAGGAGGAGACTGATGCCACCAACTTTACGTTCACTGCAGTTCCTTTGAAGCATGAGGATGATGAAGATAAACCTCTGTTCTTACAGCTTCATCAACACCAAGCTGACGTCAGAGATCTTCCAACCAGCAGCTCAGCTCAGGATTCTGACTCCTCAGAAACTGAAGTCAGTGAGGATGATGAAGAGGATTCTGACTCCTCAGAAACTGAAGTCAGTGAGGATGATGAAGAGGATGATGACATGAACAATCCTGACTCTGAGCTTAAACATGTAGCAGACTCTGGATCAAAAACTGAAGACACTAATAAAGACTGTGAGACTTCTCCCAGCAGGGTTCCTGAATCAGGTGTAAAGAACAACAGCAAAGAACAGAAGCTGTTGTGTTGTGAGCTGTGTGGGAGAAGGTTTACCAGAAAGGGCTATTTAAACACACACATGAGAATCCACACNACTGAAGTCAGTGAGGATGATGAAGAGGATGTTGTGAACAATCCCAGCTCTCAGCTCAAACACTTATCAGACTCTGGGTCAAACACTGAAGACAGGGCATGTGAATCAGATGTAAACAATGTCAGCAACAAAAGTGGACAGAAGCTGTTTTTTTGTGATCTTTGTGGGCGGAGTTTCACCATCAAGGGAAGTTTAACCAGACACATGAAAATCCACACTGGACAAAAACCATTTTGTTGTAACGTTTGTGAACAAAGGTTTAGTGACAAGAGTGGTTTAAACACACACATGAGAAGTCACACAGGACAGAAGCCATTTAGTTGTGATCTGTGTAAAAGAAGTTTTAGCCAGAAAGACAATTTAAACAGACACGTGAGGATCCACACGGGACAGAAGCCGTTTGCTTGTGATCTGTGTGAACGGAGGTTTAGTCAAAAGTGCAGTTTAGACAAACATCTGAAAATCCACACCGGAGAGAAGCCGTTTTCTTGTGATCTGTGTGACCGAAAGTTTACACTTAAAGACACTTTAAACAAACACATGAGGATCCACACAGGAGATAAACCGTTTTCTTGTGATCTGTGTGATCAGAGGTTTACCTTAAAGGGCAGTTTAACCATACACACGAGAATCCACTTGGGACAAAAGCCATTTTGTTGTGACATTTGTGGACGGAGGTTTAGCCGAAAGGGAGATGTAAACGCACACATGAGAATCCACACGGGACAGAAATCATTTTGCTGTAAGCTGTGCGATCGCAAGTTTACCTTAATGGGCAATTTAACTAAACACATGAGGACCCACACAGATCAGAAACCTTTTCCTTGTGATCTATGTGATCGAGGGTTTAATCACAAGAGCAATTTAACCAAACACATGAGGGTCCACACAGGAGATAAACCATTTTCTTGTGACCTGTGTGATCGGAGGTTTACCCAAAAGGAGCATTTAAGCACACACATGAAAATCCATACAGCAAACACTGCAGTGGTTTGCAATGACTCCTAGGTGAAAAAAACCACACTGGAGGAAAAAAAATCCTCATTTCTCTACTGATTTTGTATGTTTATATACTCATTTCAAATAAACTAAGAGACAATTCATGAAAAACAGGATGATGTCTTGGATTTGGAAAGTTATGATAGTTTAGTTTGCAACATTGGGGTTAATTGTAGACTCACACTCGGCATGAATTTAATGCTGAATGTACTGTACATAATAGGGAGTACTGTTAAATGGCTCTGAGTTAGACCATCTCCCCACAGTAACAGACTTAGCTCCAAGTTTCAGTTCACTCTCAGTAAAAAGGGCAACTCATTCACTTGAGTGTGTTCAAATGTTCACCCACAACTTCAAGATTACTATTTTAGACTATAAGGGAAAATGTGTTTTTGCATTTCAAACACTTGTAATGCAATGTTCTTCATAGTTATGCACTGAGTATTCACAAGACACTGTCACATAAGAATAAAAGCAATGCATATTGTTTTCACATGGTTTCGATCGCTAGGGATATGGGGGCTTAATTAACTCTTCAAGTTCTGCAGATTCATTCATTCAAATCAGATGTATTAGAGCAGGGTAAATTATTAATGAAAGAAAAAATGGAAATATGGCAGAAAAAGGTTGAATTAAGACAAGAAAATAGAAAAATATAAAAGTTCCAAAAATTCTGTATTAAAGGTCTGCAAAGACAGAAGAAGAAGGGATGATGCGATAGACTGAGTTAGTCACACTAAAGACAACCTGTATTCTGCCGAAAGTGAGAGACTGGAGGGAAAATGAAGGAAAGCAGAGCTAAAATGGAGTCTAGAAGGAATATCAGACAGATGGGAGCAAGGAGTAAATCTGTATCATTATAAAAACTGTTTATTACTGAAAAGCATTGCAGATCTTATCTCATAATTATGAGTTCCTGATCTCGTAAATACGAGATCAAGAGTTTGTTTATTTATTTATTTATTTATTTATTTATTTATTTATTTATTTAGTGAATGCAATGCTCTTCCGTAGTTTATATACAGTATATCTACATGATACAAATTGAAAAACAAGTTAGACGGTGGAAGTTGTGGGGGTTACACAGTTATATCCAGTAGGTGGCGGTATGCACCTTTAAGTTGTTTGCGATCCGCTATTAAACCAAAGAAGAAGTAGTTCGTCATTCCAGCATGGCGGCTTTGTTGATAAGCGGCGCTCCTGATAACAAAATTACAAATGATGTTTTCAACTCTACCGATCAACTGCAGATAATAGGTTTGTCTAGTTTTATTATTATTTCTGTCAAATGTAATTGTGCTGTAGTTTGGAAGCCGCTAATGGCTTTAGCTTCAGAGGAACGTGTGTAACTCTTGTGTGGTTTTAGCTTAATTAAATTCAGCTGTGAAGAATGTCCACATCAACCAAAACAACTACATACTTTAGGACCATTTTAATAAATGATTTAACTGTTTAAAGTTTCTGCTTTACTTTACTTTTTTCTCTCAGTTTATGTTTGAATTTTATTTAACTGCGACGTGAGATAATTTATAGCTGAAAATAAATATTGTTCATATACAGGCATACAGTTTGTGCAGAGATGATAAAGCGTGTGTAATGTGTTCATATATATATATA